TTATTCTTCCTGTTACAGTTTCCCCCACAGGTTAGTTACCTACAGTCACAAGATCACTGCCACTTCCTGTCTTGCTTAAACATTATTTTCAGCTCTTGCCTTCATTATTTTAATTGCAATTAACAAACCATGGCTTATGTGAAATTATCAGCAGTATGACCACTGTCAAAACATTTCATCTAAAGCTCCTTCATGCTTTCAGAATACCCAAATACTGAAGAACACTCTGCAAAGAGCACAGAGCATGTAAAGTTTTGTTTGTTTGTTTGTTTGTTTGTTTGTCAGTCAAAATCCTTTTCCTTAATCTAACAATGATCCTGTTCGAAGTAGATTAAATAGGTTCTTGAAGCTGCTTTTAGGAGCTTATGAAAAGAAATATATAAATAGAAACAGGCTAGGAATAAAATAAAAGAAGAGAAGGAAAGAGAGGAATGAGCCACTCTTGCTATTTTCAAGAAAGCTCTGATTGAGTTCTTCCAGGTGCCTCCTTTGCCTGCTAGCCACGAAGGCACTCCAACCTATCAGAACGGGGACAGAGAAAGGTGTTTGGATCAGAGAACCCACAGTGCCTATTGTGTAGAAAAGTCTTGCCCGAAACTGTTGTTCTGTGATGTATACTTTGTTCCGTCCCTGAGAAGTCACAACGTAGCTGAGGCTTTCTTGTGTTATTGTCAACTGCCTGGGTGGTATTCACTTAGCAACATCTTGAAAGAGGGAAGAGGAACAATCACTTCAAAGTAGTTAGATGTGAGGGATCTGTACTAAAGATTTTTACCGGTTTTGACTTACTGGTAGGTCACACGATACACATCCCAAACCAGACTTCCCACACTATTTCTGCCACTGTACCCCAGATTTCTTCCGCGCAGTTACATCACAGTGCTTTTGTATATCATGTTTTTGTCCTGCTTTCCTGCACCTTTCGATGATCAAGTCTGTTGTGCCTTGGACCCACGCTGATGTACTAACCCTCAGTATGACCTTCCCTATCTTTCCTATAGAGTTTAAATCCAGAGATGATCACACCCTTTTGGTTCTCTTTTTTTCTCCAGGCTTCAGGAATGCCAATTACATCGAGCTTTTTCTTCAAAACCAGGAACGCCAGCTCTCCTAGTTTGGTTTAGAGGCTTCTCACACTTGCATAGAAATGCCTAAATGCAATGTCTCTTCTGAAAGCCGCTTTCACAGAATCATATAACACTAGAGTTGGAAGGGGCCAGGGGGGACTCCAAGTTAAACCATCCCTCTCAGGTGGCTGTCCAGTTGCATCTTGCATGCCCCTAATGTGGCAGAACTCACATCTTCCTGAGCCAATTGGTTCCATTGTCGTACTGCTCTAACAGTCCTGATGCTCAGTCAAAATCTGTCTTCCATTAGTCTGACCTGTTACTCTGTGTCCTGCACTATGGAATGTATTCTTGAGCTTGAGCTTTCAAGAACTGAGCTTTCTTTTCCAGTAGCTCACTCACTCTGCAGGATTTTCATCTTTTGAAGTCAAATGTGGCTGTTACTTTTCAGTTATCTTTCACTTAGAGAGAGACTAATCTGATTAACACTGTAGTCAGTGTTTCTAAGTGGCACAACCACATTTGCATCTCCTATTAGACTTTAAAAAGAAAAAGAAAAGATGAAAGAAAATTAAAGACCAGTAACAGTGTTTGCTAAGGTCCACGTGCAAAGGTGTGCTTCTGTGAATAACAAGTACATTTCACATTGCTTCAAGTGCCACATGAGGATCAATAGCTGCAAGTTTCTATTCTGAAGTAAATCTCGCTGCTTTCAATAGTGCCTACTCCAAGGAGAGTAAGAGGGACTACAAAGAACAATGAGCTGAAAATGCCTGATATACTGCTGTGTACCAAGTTTTCCTCCCTTGGCAAAAAGCTCTTTGTTCATCAGAGAATACCCAACAGACACTACACTTACAGAATGTATCTTTGTGCATGCACAGAGCAGTTTGCTGAACCCAGTACTGGGTTTGTTTCTTTGTTTGTTTGTTTATTAGGGGTATTTCTAACCCGTCCATTATGGTTTGTCTCTGGACAGCTTCCAATATAAAACAAGCTAATATATACATCATAATAACCCACAACTGAGGATAAGAACATAATTAAAATATTTAAACTTCAAAATATTGGGTAAGTAAAAAGGTCTTGACCTGGCACTGAAAAGCATTTAATGTCAGCGCCAGGCAAACCTCTCTGGGGAGCTCATTCCATAGCCGGGGCACTACTGCAGAGAAAGGATTCTCAAAACACTTTTCTGGAAACACTTCTTTTGAATATACCAGGGCCTGATCTGTGTTGAAGGGTCCATTTGAAATGAGCCCGTCCTTTTTCTATATGCCTATCCTCTTGGTGTTGTTTCCTCCTTTCCCAACACTGCATCATGGGGTCAGGAGTAAAACCAGATTTGCCTGAATCTGAAAACTCCTCTCCCATGCCCCCACCTGACACTTGTGCATCTTGGCTCTTCTCAAAGGGGCTTGAGAGAAGTGGCCTTGAGATAAGCATCACTTCTATCATCTCAAAATCTGGAGCCCCATGTTCCTGAGCTCCCTCTGCCTCCTCCTTTTCACCCTCTTCCCCAGAGATCAGACTGTGAGTGTGCACCATGATCAACAGCATCCTCATACCAACACACACAAGTTCACTCATAAATAAGTTACCTTGTCATTAATGGCACTTGTAAATGCAACTGAAAGACAAATTTTCATTTGCTCAGAAACAGAAGTCATTTGTAACAATAAAATAAAATATTGTTCTTTTATGGGGACAGTGTGATTTCAATTGTTGCAGATTAACAGCCTGAAGTTATACGCATTGGAAGGGCAGTTAGAAATGACTGCATGCTCATTCATTAGGCACAAAGCTGTGCAGTTAGCTGGGCAGCACTGCGGAAGGGAGCAGTGCCAGTCAGACGACTTCCCCACTGCTGCTTGTGGAGAATCCTCTGAGCCGAGTGCAGGGTGTGGAATCAGCTTGGCAGGGGCGCCCCACCTGGGGGCAGCCTTGGCCAGCTCACTGTCCCGCTTCTGCCTGAGAAGCTTTGGCTCCACGGGAGTGGGGAAGTGTGGGGGTGGGTGAGTGCTCCCTTCTTGGGCAAGTGCCTGGACTCCCCCTTCCCCACTTCGGCTGGAGATAAAGCTGCTTCAGCAGGAGCAAGGAAAGGGGCCCCTGGGTCAGCCCAAGGCCTGCTGTGAGCAGAACAGCCCTGCCTAGCTCATGCTCTTCCTGCTTGCTTGAGTGACTGTCTCCCCAGCAGGAGCAGAGAACAGGGTAAGCCTGCCTGTGCTCACTCCTGCTTGGAAAAAGCTGCTCTGGCAGGCACAGGCTGGATAGCCTGGCACCTACCAGAGCAGGTCTCCTTTCTGCCCAGTAGCACTTGCCCCATTCTTCCCAAGGCAGTGTCCCAGCTGGTTCTCCCCCTTCCACTTGCCATGAAAAGGTTTCTCTTTCACATTCTTCTCTAACTGGCTCAGCTCCGGCCCCAAAGAAGATCTGAGAAGAGCTGAGATGCCTCTCACAGCTGCACCAAGCTGGGGCAGATGTTGGTCATGCTCTCCAGCTAGCTGCTTGGCAAGGAGAGCAGCCATTCCTCTGACCAAAGAGCATTCCTGTCCTAGTCCTCCTACCATGATGGGTTGTGTTTTCTGACTTCAATGAGGAACTCAACTGTTGATCACCACAACAGGACAAACACATGTGGTTTTTGTCACTGGTTGCTTGTTGGGTTGTGCAAATGTGTCCAGCCCTGTATGTTGTACACTTGTTCCCTTTTTGATAATATGTTGTTTAATTCTGAACAGTGACTCTTCACAAAAGCATCACCTGTGCCTGTTATAATACTGTGCTTCACAATCTGTGGTAATAACTGGCAAAATGAGACAGACAGCTACTCATCTTTTAAGTGAAATCCTTGAAGTGAAAAGAAAGAGTGCTATAGTTCAAAATGAAACTATACCATTTGAATCTACCCCTTCAGCTATTTTAAAACCAAAACTACAATCAGCACCATCCATTTCACCATAAAATATCTCCTCATTCTTCACTGTCTTTTCAAAGGGTCTTGTATATTCTTGACAAATACTTCCTCCTTCTCTTCCTTTCAATGTTTCCTTAACTGGGGTAGATGGGAGGATATTCCAAATCCCCCCTACCCCTGCTCTCTGTCTCTCTCTCTATATGGCTTATAAGAAAAACATGCAAACAGAATGCACAGATATTCTATGAGATGGATTCCGAATTTTCATGGGATTCAGTGTGGCTGAAAGAGCTACTTCCAAATAAGAAGTCTCTACATCTCTGAAAGCAATTCTAAGCACACCATTTATTTAATGGAGAGCAAGAATAGGGCAGACACATCTTTTCACTGGCAGGGATGGGGGAACACAATATGTCCATCATGGAGTCACCTGGTGTACCCACAGAAAGCTCCACAGGTATAGTTTTACCATGGTAAGCCCTGAACTTTAGCAATTTGTGGGCAGGGGTGTGTGTGACAAAGGTGGTGTTGGTTCCTCTGAAGACCTCCAGAATTGAATCCTTCACTGATATCAGCCTAAAGCTGCTAGAGTATTTTCTCCCTTGTTGAAACTAGTGGGAGACATTAAGAAAGGACCTGCCTGTAAAGGAGGACCATTTCCCCCATTGCAATGGCCACCCTTGTGGTAGATGACCCACCAGTTCATTTTCCTGTCCCTCTCACACACACTTGTGATGGTTCTGTTAGGAATCAAACAAAATATAAAAATGGCATATTTAGTAACATGGCTAATTGTGATTCAAAGAATATTCCTGAGCTTATGGCCACTACATGGCAGAGAAATTTAGGGGGTGCAGCTTTCCCTGTCAGTGTGTTGAAATGCTGAGGTAAAATTGCACCTTGAACATTTGCCCAAGTGTGAGCTTTAGTAACGTCATCAGTATTCAATTAAATCTTTGTAAATGCTTCCATTTTTCTTCTGTTAGTTTAATGTCAAGTAAAGCCCTTTCCCTTACCTTCACCTTCTCAGCAGTCTGATCTCGCTTTCCAGCGTTGTTCCCCATGATGAATCTCCAGAACTATAGTAAGTAAAAAAAGTGACAAGAGTCAGTCCCCAAAGTCATTGGATCAGCTAAGCACCCATGGAAGGTCCAGGGCTCAGTGTTGCAACACATGCTCTGAATGGATGGTTGCCTCAACTGTGTTTGAAAATACTGCACAGGGATAACTTGAAAACAAACACAATACCCTTCTTTTCTTATGCCTGATTCACTCCCTTCTCTGCTCTCTTCTTGTTCCAAATGGAATCAACTAGCCTCAGGTAGGAATATGGCTGAACAAGACTTACAGCTAATTTTGCTTCTGGCAATGATTCCCACAGAGAACATGAAAACAAGGCCCTGTTACGCCCAGTCCTTAGTATGACACAAAGTCCTATTTTGCACTCTGTTAGTAGATTCATAACAAAACACTTCTAATAATAATAAGGTAAGATATGAATGAAATTCCACCGTAAGCATGAATCAGCTATGGAATCTGCCACATGCATATGAAGCTTCATGGAAAGCAGCTTACCTAGTGCCTACATTAAAAAGCCTCCTTTAGCAACCTGTTCAAGCTTCACCATTCTTCACAGATACAGTTATGTAAAAGAACTTACTATATGCAAACCCCTTTTATTTGCATAATTGGCTTTTGTCACAGAACTCTGCTTTTCTTGGTTCAGAGTGTACACCCATCAATGATTTAAACACCAGTTACTTTCTGCTACAGTAGGTGTCTGATTAGATCTCTACAACAATAGCACTTGGATCTAACACTGAATTCATTAAGGTAACAGATTTCTGAAACTGAGTCAGTCTGGGAGCCTCTTTGAATGAATCTCTGACCAGACACCAGACTGCTGCTTCAGTGATATTAAATGCTCTTTGCTATTTGGTGAGATGGAACTATCCACAGGGAAAAATAGCACATGAAAGGTGCAATCCTATGTACATTTAGATATGTAAAGACTTATAACTGCAACAAAATGCCTTTGGCTTTTTTCTGTCTAGAAAAAAGGACTGCACCTTAAATTAAGGACTGACCCAAGTTATTGCGCTAGTTGAGCTGAAAGTGCAGATGTTACACCCTGCTCCCAAAGTCAAGCTGCACAGTATTCGAGACTGATATTTTGGCACCTGGGCCCCTTCTTGCAGCAATAAAATACAGCAATAGTAAATCACATATCACTTACAGCTCTTTAATGACACCCCAAATCAATTGTCTGACACAATCCTTAACAGTGATTGTTTCTAAGTTGAATGCATTTCATTGCTCTCTGTGTGTTTATTTTAAACTTTTAGTTGCACATTTGTGCAAACTGTAATAAAACAAAATAGCAGCAAACATTTAGACATCCTGTTTACTGGATGACAGCCCAAAGTCAGATGGATTTGTTATGGGAAGTGAAACATATGGTGAGTAATTGACTCTCCATATTTTAAGATACTTTTTTTGGTTGTCACAACAGAACAGATGAGCATCAGCTAGAGATGACTGTTGATGCAGTTTCCAGCCTGAAATGTCCAAGGCTCATATGATTTGGCTATTATTGAAAGGGGGGAAATGAGAAAAAAGGAAAGGTGTGCAATCATCCTGCATCATGAGAAATGCAACCATTTTATACCAAATAACATGTTTTAGTAGTTTTCAGATTCGTCATCAATCTCTGAGGAGGACTTCTTGGGCCTGGCCTCTCTGGGGACTTTCAATACCTTTTCTCATTATTTACACCATTGGTTCCGCAAATATAAGGCAATATTCAGTCATCATGCTACCTAACTACTCAATAAGAATAACATCAGCAAATGACATACAATTTATTTAATGTTAATGTAAGATGAACCTTGACTATCCTGCAGCAGTTCTTACACCTCTAGGTCACCCGCTACTATACATCTAGCTTTGGCCTTACCTAGGTGCAATCTTACAAACTACATAATCAGAGAAGAGGCCATAAAGTAAGAGTGAAGCGACAGCTGTAATACAAGAGTACGGCATTCTTCTGATTTTCTTTGGTGTCCCAATCAGAATGAAAATAGTGTTTCTGTAGCAAAAGGCTATGTTCGGTTCTGGTGTGCCACTTCCAATAAGACACAACAGGAGCAGTTTATTCTTAGCAAGAGGAGCAAACTTTATTAGCAGAACAAAGGGAATAGGAGCAACAAAGGCAAGAGTTTTGTGGGGATCAGGGAGCAGCTCCACTTTATATGCATGAATCAGGAACTCATCCTATAACTCATCCAAACTCATTGGATAAAAATGGCTGCAGTGCCGTTCTCATTGGTTTAAAATTGCCACAGTGCAGCTCTTATTGGTGCACTTGTATGAGGTAGGCACTTGTGTGGTTTGGCCTTCTTTGGTCTTTCCTGTAGGAGCTTCCCTGCCCTTGTCTGCACATGCCCAGCCAATGAGTGTTTTGCAAGCCTGGGACATTCAGTAAATGCTCAATTTTGCCCAGTGTTGGAACAGGACCTATCCTAGCCATGTTTACCAAGGATAATTCCCTCTCTCCTTAATGGTACTTACTTCTGAATAAATTTCATAAGGACTGGAGCCTCCAGAGAAGAGATATTTGGGCTTGCTTTGTTTACATCATATTCTTCCAATTATTCTAGTAAAATATGCCATGTCATTTTCAATTTTAACAGAGCCATGGGACAGCACACCCACAATCAAACAGGGAAACCAGAAGCCAGGGAAATAGAGGTATGCCTCTCAAATCAACTGCAATGTCATTAGGGACAAGGAATCGAATATATAAAAGCAGAAGTTGTTCTGTTTACTTTGGAAAGAACTGCCATTTTCAGGGAAGGTGAATAAAACATTTCCCATGTAGAAATACAAGAATTTCCCCCTTCTATACAACACATTGCTTCACGGGTTACTTGCTTCTATTACCAACTCAGATTTGTTCTAAGTGTACCCTAAGTGTACTCTTAAAAATGTAATGTGAGAAAGAGTCGGTGTGCTTGATGGTACATTCAAATGAACAATGATTGTCTGTGGCAACAGGTGAACTGTTCCCCTGGCAGCGTATTCAGGTGTGCTGCCAAACAATGCATGGAATGCTCCTGAAGTTTTGAACTAACTTCACACTGACTCACTCAAAAGTCTGATTCTAAATAGTCGTAGAAAGGAATTGTTTTTAATTAATCATTAATGGTGCATGCCATCAAACTAGAAATTACAGGAGGCATTAGTGAGTTCTCTGAATTCCATTCAACCTCAACATCTGACTGCTAAATGCTAGTGTGCCTGATTAATATAATTTACCCACTAATAAATGATAAACTACTTCTGGAAGTTGGCAGACAAGAAGAAATAAAGATCAATCAAGAGCAGTTAACTCCCACTCTTTATAGCATACAGGAGTGCTATTAAAACTTCAGTAACCTGAAAGCATTTGGCAGTAGATGAAAATGTTGCCAGCTTAACTGACATTTAACTATTTCCAGAAGAGCTTTAAAAAGGTTATGTTCTCTGCAGTGAATAAAATATGCTGATCTTCCAAAATGGAATGGAATCCCGAGAGAGAAGCAGAGCATTTAAAAATGCAGCTAGGCAGCTTTTTGAAGGAACATGAGAAGAAAGAGGGAGAGAAAGGGATGTTCTCTGAAAGACAGAAAGAACGTGGACAATCACAAAAAGAAAGCCCAAAGGTTTCCCTTGTTCTCTCAAGTGTTGTGAATGCATCTAGCTCAAGCAGATATTTCTGTGAGGGGATTCTGTTTCACTGGAGATGTCTCTGTTGTACTGAAGTGATGGTGTGTCTCTGTTCACACAGTGAAGCTGAATGGTGGGAGATTCAGCACAGATAAAAAGTACTTCTTCAAACAGTATTTTGAAGAAATTCCACCTAAGAAGAATTCCACCTAAACTAAGGAATTCGTTATCACAAGATGTAGTGATGGCCACTGATATGAAAGGGAAATTACGCAGATTCATGGAGAAGGCTGTGAACTAGGACTTATGACTATATCCTACCTCCAGTGTCAGAAATGCTATGTTTATCTAGACCAGTTCTTGGGAAGATGAGGAGAGCTTATTATTACACTCAGGTCCAACAGCCAGCTGGCCACTGTGTAAACAGAATGCTGGACACAAATGACTTTTGGTGCAATCCAGCATGGATCTTAAATTCTTAATCTTTCTAAAACCATTTTGAAACCTACAAATGCCACCTAGCATGAACAGCTACATGTGCATTCACCTGTCAGATAGCTACGACACTCCATAGGATTTCACACTGTGTATTTTTTCTGTATCTAATAAAAAGCATTCTTTTTGCTATTATTATTACGAATACAACATTACATTATATCACATTTCTATATCACCCATAGCTGAAACTCTCTGGGCAGTTCACAACGTTCAAGTCACCCAACCAGATTTCAACCAGGACTGACCCTAATCTAGCTTCCAAGCTTAGGCAGGATCAGACACTTCAGGGTATACGGGAGCTATTACATTGTATTTCCATCCTACCCCTTTCCTTCTTGGAAGGAATCCAAGGCAGCTATACAGCTCATAAGAGATGCTGTTGCAGAGAATTTACTGGCTCAGCAGGACATAGGACAAAATGATTTGCTAATCCACACAAAAGCTAAACAAGAAGAAGCCTCCTAAATGTAAAACTCCTTCATGAATCACTGCCTTGTCAGGGCGAAGGGGCTTGCATAGCTCAATGAAGCTATGAGCTATGCCGTGCATGGCCACCCTAGGCAGACAGGTCATAGCAGAGAGCCCTGACAAAACGTGATCCACTGGAGAAGGAAATGGCAACCCACTCCAGTATCTTTGCTATGAAAACCCCATGGACAGTACCAAAAGGCAAAAAGATAGGATGCCAGAAGATGAGCCCTTCAGGTTGGAAGGTGTCCAATATGCTACTGGGGAAGAGCAGAGGGCTAGTACTAGTAGCACCAGAAAGAATGAAGCGACTGGGTCAAAGCTGAAAGGACACTCAGTTGCAGATGTATCTGGTGGTGAAAGGAAAGTCCGATGCTGCAAAGATCTATACTCCTTAGGAACCTGG